ATATATATATATATATATATATATATATATATATATATATATATATATATATATATTCTTTTCGTATAAGAACTTCACAGTAATAAATAGTTCTCATTAATCTTTTTCTAACTGAGCTTTCTGATATAACTAAAGATACACAGCCTTTTCAGATAACAAATTTTTATAAAAGATATTTAAAAGATATTCTATCTTCTCTCTTTTTAGACGTCTTTGAGATATCTTTTAGAAAAGTTTGTGGTGTCCGGGTTGTCACAAAGTTATTAATTTGAAACATTGATTCTTCTCCTTCCAGGACAACAGATACATGTAACAATTACCATTCTTTCAGGCCGTTCCTAAGTAATATGGGTGGCATAGCACCTGGCCTTCCAGCGATGCCGGACAAGCCTTTGCGCTTTACGGACTCTCCGCAGCATTACACGAGTAGCACGACGGGCTCCAACGCCCCAACGCCGAGCCCGAGAAGAAAGAGCAGTAGCACCAGCAACGAGGACGCGTACTCGCACGACGCGGCTCGCGTCGACCGGATAGAGAGGGTACCGACGATATATATGGGCAATGTTGCCCCGTTCCCGGATTACGGGCCGCCGGTGTATACCGTCGTACCGCCGGAGTATTATCGGTCTCCTGAGCCGCCGTATTACGTATCCACGGAGTGTCAGTAAGTATGAGTATCAAAATGTAAGACGTAACAATATATAAATAAATCGGTAATCAAGCCAGAATTAATTAAATCAGTGTTCTCGGGATTATTTGTACTTTCGAGGCGATTTTTGAGATCTACGCCTACTTCCTCTTACTTCTCCTAATTTTGTGAATAGTTCTTATTAAACTAATTATTTCTGTATAATATTATATTTCTATCTATGCTATCAACACCTATTTGTATTATTATAATTACAGCGATAGAATATTAGTTCGCTTGACGGGTAAGAGCAAGAGGAAGAAAGTAGGTTCAGTTCTCGAAAATTGCCATAAAAATATAATTTCGAGTAATGAATTAGATAATTTTAGACTATAGATATAGTAATGTGCTTAAAGCGCGAAACTTCTTCTAAGGCGCAGTTTCTCAAATTAGTTTAATTAGATCGCTTTAAATTATAGACACAGACAATAATGTATCTAGTGTTTAGAAGTAAATATTAAATTATAGACGCAGACAATAATGTATCTAGTGTTTAGAAATAAATATTCTAGACCATCTAAGGCTTCAAGTTAGTGTATCAGTGTATAGGATGACCGAATTAAGAATTTGCCGTTCTTTCAGCGATCGGATGCTCGAGTGTCCCGAGTTTCCGCACGCGTACGACAATCCAAGTAGTATGAACAGCCCGGCCAGGCCGGTGTCCAGACTTTTGCCTTACACGCACCATCGCACTTCATCTAACGTTTCCAACGTCAGCACGTCGAGTCAAAGCAACGTGAACCCGACGTTTCGCCTGGAGGACGAGGACGATTACGGAATGTACTCGCCTGTGCCGTATTACCAGCGGCCGTCGAACGTCATCTCCAACTTAGCGTCGACATACGGCTCGAGTATACTTAACCATGAGTATGGCTCGCCGTTATTGACCCGCCAAAACTCCCACGACTCCAGCACGAACTCCGGCGAGAGACCGAGTAATCTGGAAGTCATCACGCGACTGCGTTCGAGTCTGAAGCGATCCAATTACTCGTATAACTCGCCGAGCAAGAGTGTAAGCAAGAACAACTCGGGGTCGGGTACGCCGACAAACCCAACTCCGCCTGATTCGCTGACTTCTGAGGATTCGAGCTACGTTTCCGCCAAGGATAGCCAGATTTCTATCGGCCGGGTACGCTTCTCGCCGGTGACTTTTGACCGCGATAACGTATCGCGCGATCACAGGGAGACGCTGCTGGATATTCCGGTGCACGGGCAGAATCAGGACGTGACGGTGCCGCTGCAGGCGAATCGACGTCTCAATAGAAGCAGAAAGCCAAGCATCTCGGAACTGGAGAGAGAGTTCTTGTCATAGCACTGGCTTATTTAAGATTGCGCGAGACTCACGTAGGACTGCACTGAAACAAAGGGTTCGTCGATGCTTTTCACAGTCTGTCGATATCTCATAGCAAACGTAGGACGATCTGCTTGCGTCTCCGGTTATATGAATCGCGGAATCGTTTGCAGAACCGTTGCTCCTATAACTGAGACTTGAGCCACTCGGTTCATTAACGAAACACGACAAGACTCGCGGAACGATGCACGTTGTCGAAGCACTGCCTTTCGCGGACGATATTCATCGGTAGAACAGCAAGTCGTAATAGTACACTAACGAGTCCGGGAACTAACATTCCATGCGACACAACGCGTACAATTCAAGCGCGATTCGTGTTATTATAAAATGTATAATGTAATGCGCGACTAGATAATTTTAATTTGATAACATAACAGTCTTTGATACCCGTGTTACGGTGTGTATGTGTATATGTATATATACATACACGATGTCTCAGATTTTCCTCCGGATATTTTGTGGGAATGTAGAATAAGTTGAGGTGAACATAAAAGTCCTATATTATTTTGCGATATTTGCAATAATAGTCGAGATATTAATTAAAGAAGATTGATGAATGATCACGCGTAATATAATAGATAAGCTGTAGTGGCGATATGTGCTATTGTGTGCTTGTACATGAGGTCAAATTGAACAAACAAGCCCTTTATTATTTCGCAAATAACTGTAATAACGTAGATTTTTAGTTATTAATGAAAGAAAATTGTTACATATGATTGTGCATCATAATGCACAAATTTTCTTTAATTAGTATCTAAAAATCTATGTGGTCATTTGCAAAATAGTAAACGACTTTTTTGTTCAGTTTGACCTAATTTATAAGTATATTACAATTTATAAGTATACAACAGCAGACGGCGCCACTGCAGCTCATCTATCATATCGCGTGTGATCATTTACCAATTTTCTTTAATTAATATCTTGAGATTTATTGCGAATATCGCAAAACGGTATAGGACTTTTATGTTTACCTCAATCCGTTCTACGTTCCCACATAATATGCGGAGGAAAGTCTGAGATACATTGTATATATACAGGGTGTACAGATCACTATTCTCAAACTTTGTGAGAGCGCAGAACGGATTGAGATGAGCAAGAAAGTCCCATACCGTTTTGCGATATGTGCAGTTTTCGAGAAATTAATTTAAAAAAATTGCATGAAGGAGGAGCACTCGAGCCGCTGAAGTCGCTCGAGGCCTAGCGCGTTTTAATTGGTCAAGAAATGATTAGCGGCATACAGCGTGGGGAAGAATAACGCGCTGCTATCTGTGCTTGTATCGCTGCGCTCCTATATCTCGCTTTGGCGCGGTGCAACGAGACGTAGAAGCGCAGCGATACAAGCACAGGCAATGACATATTATTCCTCCCCTCACGCTGCGCGCCGACAGTTTCTTGACTAATTGAACCACGCTAGACCTTGAGTGACTTCAGCGACTCGAGTGTTTTTCCTTTCTTCACGCAATTTTCTAAAAATTTTCGAAGACTATTTCGAAGACTATATAAATATCACAAAACGATATAGAACTTTCTTGTTCACAATCTGTTTTGCGCTCTCACAAAGTTTGAAAATGGTGATCTGGGGCACCCTATATGTGTGTATGTGTGTGTATATATATATATATTGTAAGCAAGGGTTACAATAATCTGCGTGCGTGTATATATTCGAGTCGCAAATATTATTATTATTCCAAAAGTAAATATTCTTCTGCGAATATATGCATGGTGTACCATTACAACGCTGACTGTTGATGACAGACGCCACGAACGGTACGGAATCGATTCTTAAAAATCGATACCGACGTTTCGCGAGGACTCTGTGATTGACAGTTGATCGACAGCGACAGTGGTACATCATGTGTGTAACGATATTCTTAAATAATAAAAAGGTAAATATATATATATATATATATATATATATATATATATATATATATATATATATA